TCTGCAGGCAATATGATGTGCCAGACATCCCGATGGGAACATTATCTGTGGTGGAAGAAATTCCATTCCACACCCAACTTCTTCTGGCATCAACGCATCAATGACATCAATTAAAGCAGTTAAATAGCTATACACTGATTCGATTTGTGCAATAATATGCAGATAGGCGAATCTTAAGGGCTCCATTCTTGCTCCAGAAATATTTCTGCCTCTTATGGACATTAACTTCCCATTAATGTCACTACGGCCTCTAACATCGATAATGGAACCCTTCTCCAGAAGCCTCATTTGAACAGCAATTGCACAGAGACTTACAGCCAAGCCAACTGAAGAAGTAGACAGATTCTCTGTTTCAGGACGGGCATCAAATCTAGCCCACAAAAAGAGAACACAAGCCACAGAGTGCAACCACTTTGGAATAATGGGAGGCCGATCAGGAAGATGTAAATGATGTTGGAGGAATGCAAATCCATTGGGGAAACCTTTGAGGGAAATCTGATCAAAGTTCACAATTTTGTGGATCATGACAGTGCATCCCTCCCGACGGTACTCTTTATAGGAAAGTTTTCCTTTGTGCTTGAAGATCCCCGGAAGACGGAAGGTGTTCGAAGGATAGGTATCAACAAGCAGACCCACCAAGATTCGTCGAAGAGGAAGACTGCACAAATTAAAGGGCTCCCTAGACTGATAATCCTCCACGACACCTTTAAGGACCATTCCAAAGGCAAAAAGGGCATCACACGCCGAAGTTGGGATATGCCCATTGCGGAAAGCCCTTAACAGACGTGGAGGCCAAACAGAAAGGTACCGTGGACTCGGTTCCCCCACAGCTAAAACATGTAGAGCTTTTAATCCGTAGGATTTATCTGAAAGGTTGGATAGGATAGGAGGGGATTGAGCCACCTTTGAAGGAGGAACATCATCGCCAAAAATGAAAGACATATAAGTTGGAAGATCCTCAAAGGGAACATGATAAGAGGCAAGACCAGCACATATAAAATTAAAGGCTTTAGATCTTTCAGATTTTGGAAATTTGGAGAGGATCCGATCCACAGGACCAACGATATCATTCCCAAATCCTGAGAGCCATTCAATTAGACGTCGAAATCGTGAGGCAGTTCTTGCAGCATTATTCGAT